GGTGTTGAAACAAACTTGCCAAGAATGCAAACAAATTAAGCTGATCCAAACCATGTGCTTTGTATAAAAATGAATTCTCCTTGAGGATTAAACGTGAAAGACGAAACCACAAAAGTATTAGAAGAAAATAAGGCTGGAGGTTTTAATAATCTTGAGAAATGAAGATCTTGAAGAGTATAGCAGAGCTCATCTTAAGTAGTTAATTTTTTTATTCTTATGAAAATCATAAGGCTAAAATAGAAAAATGAATATTTTCAAAATTAAGATTTAAAAAACCCAAACCCACTGCTACTGAATCTGTTCTGACTTGTGGGGACCCTAGATAGAGGTTCTTTACAGGAGCAGACAGCCTCCTCCTTCTCCCACAAAGCAACTGGTGAGTTTGAACTGCTGACCTTACGGGTTAGCAGCACAATGCTGGCTTACTCAACATGATAACTATGCCCAAAGGTTGCTTTGGGGTCAAGAGAATGAGTACTCCATTAGAAAAATGGACAAATATATCCACTATTATATGTGTAGTGGATTTAGGAAAGAAATACAAAAGGTGATGAACATAGGCATGAAGCCTTATTAACAAGAAGTCTTTTAAATTTTCTCTCCTTTTTGTGGCCTAGAACATTTGAATAAAGTAATTTTAGTATTTAAATATCTTGCCTATAACTTAAAGAATGTTTACAAGAGCCTCATATCATCTAGCAAGACCTGATTAGCTCAGCTACCATGGTCATTTTTTCAAATATCCTTTTTATGTGGGTTAACTTTGCTTTCATAGTAAAATGTTTTTTAAGCCTTAGTAGGTAACTGACTATACTTTTACTTATAACTTAAGGGCATAACCATTTAAGAATAATTTTTACATGTTATTTCTTATGGAAATCAGAGAAAAATTTACTTAAACGTTATTTTATATTTTATTTTATAGGTGCCAGCGTTCGAACATTCACTCCATTTTATTTCCTGGTGGAGCCAGTGGATACCCTCTCGGTTCGAGGCTCTTCCGTCGTGTTAAACTGTTCAGCCTACTCTGAACCTTCTCCCAAGATTGAATGGAAAAAAGACGGGACTTTTTTAAACCTAGCTTCAGATGACCGACGCCAGCTTCTTCCAGATGGCTCTCTATTTATCAGCAATGTGGTACATTCCAAACACAATAAACCTGATGAAGGTTACTACCAGTGTGTGGCCACAGTTGAGAGTCTTGGAACTATCATCAGTAGAACAGCCAAACTTACAGTAGCAGGTAAGTTAAACATTGTGCTTGTATTTTCAAATTTGGGTAAATAGTAAATATTGGCAAAAGCAGTATTATCCTGGAGTTTTCATTTAATTGGTAACAACAAATAGTATTTAACAAGTAGCAATTGAGGGTGTGTACACACACACACACACACACACACACTCTCTCTCTCTCTCTCTCACACACACACACACACTGTACAAAAAGACTTCAGAAATTTTGTGGAAAGATTGCATTATTTCTTCATTCTATTTTCTCCAAAACTTTTTGAAGCCCTCTCATATGTGACTGTACGAGGCTGTTCTGTAGGAAGAAAAACTGTAGGACTTCACCAAGGGGTTAAAGTTACCATCAGAAGTACTGAGATGTTCTTCTTAACTTGTGTTTTTTGGTTTTATTTTGTTTTTCTTTTAACTTAGACATTGGCAGAGGAAGCAGTAGTGTACGAGAAATGAGTCACTTTGATTGCTAACTTTTATCCTACTTAGCATAGACCACTTTTCAGTATAGTCAGAGTCTAGTTCTTTTAGTTACAATTAGCAGTTAAATGACATCACGAACTGCCGCAGTTGTCAAAACTCTAGACTATGAGGGGGCTTCAAAATGTTTGTGGAAAAATATAATGAAAAGATAATGGAATTTTCTCGCACACTTTTTGGCAGCCCGTGTGTGTGTGTGTGTGTGTGTGTGTGTGTGTGTGTGTGTGTATTTTAAGGT